AGCTCAGGATAATAATTATCAATCACTAGAGTAAATTTCTTAACCGGTCTAGCACGGTAAAGGAATATTAATTATTTATTATGTCAATGAGAGTTCTACCTTCATCATCGTGACCCTGTTCGACACTATTTGAGAAGTTCCAATCGAACGCAAGTCTCCCATGCTGCAACCAAACATCATTCCATTGGGTTGAGAGTAAAGCAGTTCTGGCAGCTTCTCAGGTGGACAAACACTCCAAATTATGTGCTTTACCTCTACCAGCAGAGGACTTATAAAATCCCTACTTGCATCCGCTACAGTGGTTTTTATTAGCCGCCGTCGACTCATTAAATTGATGCGTCACTCGAAATCAAAAGCTAAAATCCTTCTATTCTTCAACTGTAAATTTAGTATTTCGTAAATAAAACGAAATTAGGAAGCTAAGAGTTGGGGAAAAAATAGAGATGATGGAACTGAAAAACACAACCAGATGCGTATCTTCAAGATGAAACCAGTGGTGGTATCGGCGCCTTGATCGGAGACCGGAGAAGAGAGATATGGCCGGGAACATATGGGATCTCCGGCGATGGTGGGTGGTGTGTAGGGGTGTAAACGAGCCGAGCCGAGCTCGAGCCTGGGTAGGCTTGAGCTCGAGCTCGTTAATGGAAGCTCGGCTCGAGCTCGAGCTCAAGTTCGATCGAGCTCAAGAACTGATGCTCGAGCTCGAGCTCGGCAATTTTTGAGCTGCTCGAGCTCGAACTCCATCTTGAACTTGAGTTCGAGCTTAATCTTGAATTTTTTAATTGTTATTTTTATATATTATAATTATATTATGTTATATTATATATTATAAATATTATATATTTTACGGCTCGCGAGCGGCTCGACGAGCCACGAGCCACGAGCCTAGAATATCTAGGCTCGGCTCGAGCTCGATTATCAAACGAGCTGCTCGAGCTCGATTTTGACCGAGCTCGAGTCGAGATTTGACCGAGCCGCTCGCTCATTTACACCCCTAGTGGTGCGTGACGGCGCGTGCGGCAGCGGACGGCAACGAGACTTCAACCCTAGGCTCGCGAAGAGGTTCCAAGAAGGTCTGGGTAGTGTTAGTTTGGGAGAAAAACCACTAGGCACGCGTCGGAACGAAAAAAACAGTCGAGGCACTTCCGGTGGTGGCAACGGAAAGATAGGGTTTAGGCTCTGATACCATGTGAAGAATAAAGGGATTCATTGTATTCTCTGAAAAGAGTTGTACATATATCTACTATTTATGTAGGAATATACTATTAACCTATTGGGCCCATTCCTAAAAGGGCCTAGAGTTTCAAACAAATATTCTTCAACTTGGTAAACTCGAGTGTTTTAATGTCTTGTATCAATTGTTATGCCATGGACCCGTGTCCACCTTGCAAGGTGGATACGGGTCAAATACGACGCCGTTATGCAATTCGGGAGTAACAGTGCCGTTAGTGATACCGTTTTCCCTCCACCAATCATAATTTTATTAAAAAAAAATTGTCAAAAGAATTCAACGACATAAAAAATTGTGAATATAGAGTTCTGCGGTTGCGAATATAGAGTTCAAGAATTAAGAATATAAAATTCTATAATTGTGAATATAGAGTTTAATAATTGTGAATATGGAGTTCTAAAATTATGAACATAGAGTTCTATAATTATGAACATAGAGTTCAGTAATTATGAACATAGACAAACGCCATTAACGGCGAAAGAAAGCAATTTTATTTAATTGACATGTCATCGTGATACTGCTAATTATACGTAAGCAATATAAAATAAACCCGAGACCAATCAAAGCGAATAAATGTCTTTATTGATCACGGTAAAGGCCCTAAGTACAATCTACTTGGTTGCTCTGAGTGCCGACTGACTGCGGTCGGGATTCTCTAACAACAACCTATCGATCGTCCAAAAGTCCTCTACACTGTAGCTACTGTGGGTATTTATAGCCGCTGTGCCTGGAGACATGACTCCGGTCGTTCGGCATGTTCTCCACGTAGCCACCACGTGTCATCCTCCCAGGTGCCCTGCCTGTCGTCGTAGAGAGCCGCCACGTGTCCTGTACCAGCTCTCCTGCCAAAGGGCTACCGCTCGGTGGTTGACACCATCACTCGGGCAACTCCCGGTCGGACCCCGACCGGGTTCTTCGCATGAAGCCCGACCTGTCACCTGCAAAGACAAAGAAGAAAAGAATAAAGACAGCTCGGTCGGGGTAGAGCTTATGTCGGTCGGGATATTTCCTACCACATCGTTTTCCACCAAAACGATGCCGTTTTGAAACCGTGTCCACCTTGCACGGTGGACACGGTTTCACAGCATACTTTGCGGTCTTGTATCATGCCTTCAATTTCATTTCTTAGTTTTGTGTTTTTGCCTTTATTTTCTTTAACATTATAGATTGACATTTTATTCAATAAATTTATTTATTTATTTATTTTTTGATTAGATATGAATCAAAGTTTATCAAGAAAATTACTGAAGAGATACTAAGGGAAGTAAATCGTACTCACATGAATGTTGCAAAGCACCCTATCGGAATTGATTCTCGTGTTAGTGATATACATCATTTATTGCAGAATCGAACAAATGATATAGTTCAGATTTTTTTTTTTTTTTTTTTTTTTTAATCATGGATGATGTTTGGAGAGTGAAGATTCTCAAGATGCATGATTTAAGATGGGAAAAGAAATTGTTCGAAAGGTCCGAGGGGAGGCAAATCATTGTAACACCACCACCTCACTTCTGGTTCCGACCTGGTGGTTTATTACCAAGGCCACCTTCAGTGGGGAATATATGTTCCTTGGAAACTTTCTTTCAGTTCCGCAAACTTCAAAGGATTCCTGTGACATGATGAGGCATATTCCTTCCTTTATTGCATTGAATTCAACTCCCAATCGAGGGTGCAGTGTGTGAGGCATGCAGTTGCTTTTATTCGTTTGCAGATTTCGCCTTGGGGCTAGCTCCTCTTTAGTGCATATCTATCTCGAGTTGCAGATGCTCTTGCTTCAGAAGGTCTTTGTCTCTTCGATATGATGTAATTCGGCTTCTTTTTTTTTTTTTTTTTTTTTTTTTTTTTTTTTTTTTTTTTTTTTTTTTTAATTCCTTCGAATTATATTATTGCCCCTTAATGTCAAGTTGGCTTGTCTTTATGATCTCCGAGGCTTTGCTTCTCCGAGACTTATTACTATCAATAAATTGAGTTTGCTTTAATTTTTTTAAAAAAGTGTCACAATAGTTTTTATATATATTAATCTTCTGTGGTTTTAATTGGTATTAACATATTTTGAGATTTAAATAGCAGATCTATCAAACATGAAAAGACTCAGAAGGTTAAATATTCAGAACTGCAAAAGTTTAGTTGAGCTTTCAGGCTTGGAGAGTCTTGAATCCTTAAACTATCTTGGGATAATTGCAATGGTTTGAGGATTCCTTCGATTGAAAAGTGGTTCAAAGTTAGTTATATCTGTTCCCTTCATCTCTGACATTATATTAGAATAGATCGATGATAATATTATTATTTGTTAGTTGTATTTTAATTTCCCAGCTGCAAAAGGTTGGGTGAGCTTACAAATTGCATGCAGTGCTTTAATTTGAGGATTCCTTTGATTGAGAAGTGGTTTGTTATGTTCCACTGATCTCTATCACTCTCTATCTGTCTCTGATGATTTGGTGTTCAGATTAATTAGATGGTAATAATGCTTTTGGTATTTAATTAACTCTTATATGGAAATATGACATAATATATATAATGCAGGTATGCATGCATGTTGTGAGTGAAGGTGACACTGCATGTCAAGTATGTAAAACATTTGTCTGTTGCATTATTCCAATACTCTAGCGGTCTAGCCTAACTCCCTTAAAGAGTCAAACTTAAAAATTATAATTATCAAATTACTTTGCCCGATGACTCGTCTAATGCTGTCCTGGTTCAAACTTCAAATGCTTTTGATGGGGTAATAATAATATAATATTCACCGAAAAAGTGTTCATCAAAGAATTGAATGGTAGCCATATTCAAATAGATGGAATTGAGGCGTAAGAACCGGAGTATGATCTTTAGGATTAAAAATAACAGTTCATGATATGTTCTCTTTTTAGCTTTAATTATTATTATGTTGAACCAATCCATTATGGATGGCCCTTTCCCTTTCCTGTCCCTTTTTAAATACGACTCTTTAGTGGCGATTAACTTTAAGTTGAATGGTTGAAAGACACTCACACCATTCAACTAGGAGAGTGCAGCGGACGGATCATGTTCATGTTTTTTTTTTTTTTTTTTTTTTTCAACTTTAACTAGTAAATTATCCGTGCGATACATGAATAAAATTTTTTTATTATATATTTAGATAATAAAATTAAACATAAATTTAAACAATTTTAATCTTTGTGTTAATAAAATGATTATTTGTGAAAAGATGTTACAAAGCAATTATATTCTTTTTACTCCTGGCCTCTATGTTGTTAAATTTTTATGAATGTTTAGAAGTAGGTGATCCTATGGACCCATACTATGTTAATATTAATTCTGTACAAAATGAAACAACAAATTTATTTCATAGTTAGTGTGAAGAGTATTTACAGACTTATGGTTCTTCCATGAATATTAGTATGTCTTCCTGATGTAGTTCGCAGAGCTCGCAATCCTCTCAACGAAGTCGTGGCTTTAACCTCTTAGCTAGAGCGGGTAAAAGTTGTTGGACAAGCACGACAGGTTCATTGTCATGTCCAACATTATCTGGGACAAAAATTTATTTAAAATTTGCCTTTGTATTTTTGGATAATGATGTTGATCTTGGTGTTTTGCAGTGGTAGAAAGACCATGAAAAAAAATTCCTATTTTATCTATTATTGCAAAACAAAATTTTGAAACTCCTGCTTGCTTCTACTCTGGGAATAGAACATGAATTTAGTGCTGGTGGAAACATTTTAGACGATACTCTCTCAAGAATGACATCGCAATCAATCGAAATTTAAGTTTTCACAGCCAATTGGGGATTGACAAAACTTAGACAACAGGAAAATGATAAATCTACTATCATCAACAATTTCTTTTTGGATGATACAAACACTGCAACCGAAGGGGAATAAACTGAGTCTTATAAAAAACAACAAAAAATAGGTAAGACAACTATGTGCCCTTTTATTCTTATTGAAATTTCAATAAGATACGTAGGCAACTTAATCTCGGTAAAATTAAGTGCAAGTCATAAATTATTTTTATTTATTTTTAGTTAATATTAAAGTTTAAATATTTGATATAATTATTTTTCAAAAAATTATAGATGATGTTGAAATTTTTTTTAAAAAAAGATAATTATGTTTTTTTTTTTAAATCTCGATTTGAACCAGCGGTTCAAACCAAAACCTCTGGTTCATCTATTTTCGGAATCCTAATCACCGGTTCCGAATCAGAACCGGAATCTTAGGCACAGTCGTACAATGTAGTGGGAAATTATTAAGAACGACCAAGTCAATGGACAAAGATTCACAAATCTTTACTTTTAAGACTTTTACTCTTGAAAACTTAGCACCAGTCCCACTGTAAAGTGGAAAAATAGTGAATTTTGTCTGTGGTAACAATTCCAGTTATATTTATTTTTATTATTTATTAGAAATTTAGTTTTAAACTAATGAGATATATAGATTGAAAGGAAATTGATATTTTTCTTTTTGAATTATACGTTTATACAGTTATAGTACTTTTTGTTTTCTCTGGATTATTTAGTATCCATATTAGTTCTCTCAATTATTTTAAAAGTAGCGATTTCTTGTATTTTCTATTAAAAAGACATTTTTACTCTTAAAAATAAATATTTCATTTGTTTTTCTTCTCTCACAAATTATTGCTTATATTTGAGAAGAGTTTATTACCGAAATGGTCCCTCGACTATTACAAAATTATCAATTTGGTCCTCGACAATTTTTTCTTACCCAATTAAGTCCTCGACTTTGAAAATATTAACCATTTTGGTCCTCCGTGAGATCGGGCGTTAGAAGTCCCATAAATTGGAGGGCATGGATGGTATTTCACATGAGAAGACTCATTTCCAATTAATTAATTAATTATTTTTTTTGAAAACCCAATTAATTAACTTAAATGATTAACGAATGGAAAATATTACCCAAAATCAAGCAAAAAGAAAAAGAGATCGGCTCAGTCTCAACTCAGACGGCGGCGGCGTCGATGACACACGGAGGGGGCCGGAAGGAGAAGCTGCAAGAGTAGAGAGAGATGAACGGAGCCTCAGACGGGGTGACACTGGAAGAGTTGCAGAAGAAAATGGCGGATTTCACGAGGGAAAGAGATTGGGCCCAGTTCCATAGCTTAAGAAATCTCCTTCTTGCGTGAAGAGTTCTCAGACGTATTGCTCTATCTTGCCAGGCTTTCTGACATTTATAGCATTGATCTTGGTAAGGCTGCCCTTAGAAAGCTAGAACTCAATGCTAAGAAATACCCAGTTAACCTTTGCAACGCCTCATCCAAAAAGCTCAACCTGCAGACCAAAACTACAACCACCTCCACCAAGAACAAAAATATCAGCAATGACACAGAAAATGGGGTTGCTGATGAATTGGTTTGACTTTTTCTAAGAATCTCTCCTAGTTTTAGGCCCCTTACCTTTAATTTGTTAGCTTCCTTGCTGTGTTTCAATGGCCTCTCTCTAGTCTCTATCTCTTCCTTGTCTGAATCTTTCCATCCAGACCTCATCTGAAAACCTAAGCCTCTGCTCCGATCAGGTTTTCGCCGGAGAGAGTAAAGATGCATCTGAATCTGCCTATTCCCGGCAACAAGCAGTCAATGGGGCAGAGACTCAGGCCGCTTCAGCTCAAATACACGTCGCAACGGAGCAGAGAACCAGTGTGTTTTCCTTCTCGTCACCATCTTTCTCAAAATCCGGGTTCTCCTCTCCCTCATCCATTCATCTCCCGCCAAGTCCGCCTTCGAAAGGTGGATCCTTGGAAGGCAACCGGATGCAAGGTGGTCACTAATGGCGGATTTAGGCTGCCGGCGAAAGGGCTAGAGAGCGTGGTTCCCGAGAATCTCCTCCTGGCTTGGTACTGGACGAATATGTACCACACGGAGCTGATTTACCACAAGCGAATGTTGAATCACCAGTGTAGAACCATGGATCCGGAGGAGGCCACGGGATTCTTCATCCCCTTTTATGCCGGGGAGTTCACCGGATTCTTCATCCCCTTTTCTTCATCACCAGTGTCGGCAAGTTTTTGTTCATGGAGTTCAACTATACGTACCAAGATCGAGACCTTTACTGCAACATGTTCCATTTCAATGACCACTGCGAAGGATTTCCAGGAGATTTACGTTAAAGAAGTGGAAAGACGAAGAAGAAAGGGTTTAATAAATAAAATGTGTGAAATTACCTCTTTATCCTTAAATTTAACAGCTTATAGATGAAATTTTAACGGAAGATCAAAATGGTTAACATTTTCAAAGTTGAGAACTTAATTGAGTAAAAAAAAATGTTGAGGATCAAATTGGTAATTTCGTAATAGTCGAGGGACCATTTCGATAATAAACTCATTTGAGAATCATAATAAATGCGAAAAAAGAGTAAACACCATTTGTAAATCATCATTTTTAATCCAAACATCCAAAAAGGCAAAGTGTTTACGGATAGGTTAAGTTATTTGGGTTCGGATTAATGAAAGTTTAGGTATCACAATTTTATTAGTCAGTAATATATTTTACCAATTATCTAACGTATAAATTTGAAAGTGTATACAATAGCAAATAACAATGATTTTGTATGTTCATGGCGAGGTTTCAACGGTAAAATTTAATTAGGCATGAACCAAAGTACCAAAACATGAGCACTTCATATGGAGTAATAATTTAAAGTATATGGTAGAATTGCGGGTGGAATCTAGGAAAAAAACAAAAATCATAACATATCAGATTATCAGGTAAATGTTCCTAATTCCCATACCATGATTGATGGTAAATAGGTGGGGTCTAGGAAAAGGGTACAATATCATAACATATAATGTGAAGGAAATTTCCATTACGGTATCGTCTGCGTACACAAGCACTTATCAAGCTCTTTAAATCTTTAGAAATTAGCAAATCAAGATAGAAGATAGTGTTCTCAATTTCAAATATGGCTTCTTCTTCATCATCATCTTCTTCATCTTCATCTTCATCTACTACTGCTTGGGTGTATGATGTTTTCTTGAGTTTTAGAGGAGAGATACGAAAATCTTTTACTGATCATCTTTATGAAGATCTGCGTCAATCTGGAGTTAACACCTTTCGAGACGATGAAGAAATTCGAAAAGGTGAGAACATCTCGGATGAGCTACTGAAGGCCATCGAAGGATCCAAGATATCCATCATCGTATTTTCCAAAACTTATGCCCAATCAAGATGGTGTCTTGATGAACTGGTGAAGATTCTAGATTGTAAGAAAAATTTTCAACAGATGGTTTTGCCTATATTCTACAACGTTGATCCTTCAGAAGTTCGTAAACAAACAGGCGAATTTGGTAAGGCAATGGCTCAACATCGACAACGATTTGATGATCAAAAAGTTGATGAATGGAAAATTGCACTCACTACTATTGCTGATTTGTCCGGATGGGATTTGCGAACCATGACAAACGGGTAAATCCTCTTCTCAATTTTGTTTTTTTTTTTGTTTTTTGTTTTTTATTTATTTATTTATTTATTTATTTTTTTTTTTTTTGTGTGTGATAGTATGATATATTTGTCACAATCTGGCTCACTAACTCATATTGTCAATAATTTTAATTATGTTAGTTGTGCTAATTAAGAATGGAGTTCTAGCATCTATACATGCATCTTTAAGGATGGATTAATATTTTTAGTAAAACATGAAGAATCTACCCCGTGCATTTCAATGTATTTGTCAAAAATATTAATTCCTTTTAGAAATTATAATTATGGATGATTATTATATCCATTGATAAAAATATTATTAAGAGTTGTTTACCTCAAGCAATGGAATCATGAACGACTAAATATGCCCACATGGACAGCTCAATTGGTCATAGAGGTGAAGTTTGGGAAGAATGATCCGGGATCGAGTTTCACCAGCGGCAGTATAGGAGCAACCTCTCAAAGTGAGGGGCTTCTTGTGCGCAGCCTCTGTGGTTCAGTTGATATTGTTGATCCTCCCAGATGCTCCTTTTGGGGCAGTGTGGGAGCAACCTCTCACAGTGAGGGGGGCTTCTTGTGCGCAGTAAGCAAAGGTCTAGCTAACCTCTGTTGCTCATGATTTTTGGAGCAGTGTGAGAGCAACCTCTCAAAGTGAGGGGGGCTTCTTGTGCGCAGTAAAGGTCTAGCTAGCCTCTGTTGTTCTATCATGATTTACATCCTCCCAGATGTTCTGTCGGGCCGGGGTTGAGGATTGCACACCAGTAATTTTCCTATGTGAAATTTTAAAAAGTATAAATCATCCATCACTGTTAACCTACTCTTTAAATCTTTACTTCTAGACTTTTAGTACACTAGACAACTTGGTAACCACCCCCACTAATCTATATTTATTATTAATTGAGAAATTTTGCTAAATAATAGTTGCGTTCTAGGACTTCTAGCATCTTTTCTTTTTTTTTTTTTTTTTTTTTTTTTTTTTTTTTTGAGATAAAAGGCTTAATTCATTAAATCAGAAGAAAGAGAATCCACAAGACACAGGGGTGGTACATCAAACCATTCCCCGCAACCTGACTCAGAAACGGCTTCCCTCGCAATAGTGTGGGCTGCACGATTCGCAGATCGCTTTACGCAGGAGAAATTAACACCATGAATACTAGATGCTAATTCCTTTACATCATCTATAATCAAACCAAAAGCAGAAAAATAAGAGTCTGAATTTAAAGCATAATAAACTAAGTGAGAATCAGTCTCAACATCTACATCTCCCATTCCTGTTCCCTTCATCCATGTTGGAGCTTCATGGATACAAATGGCCTCAGCTTCTCTCACCGTGTACTTCCCCATTAGGCGGACCGCTTTCGCACCTAAAAAGACCCCCATCATCAATCAAAACCCACCCCAAGTCCCATTGAATTACTTGCATCATTAAAAGCCGCATCGGTATTCAACTTCAACCTTCCTTGCCGTGGCTTCCTCCAACTTTCCCCGTCCGTTTCCATGCCGGCAGTCTCTCTATCTAGCTCATTTGCACTCCGCCACGAATGCAGCAAAGAAACAGCTCTTTGGACCATATTAACTCGCACATACGGGATGTTGCTCCACACTTTCTCATTCCTACTCAACCATAATCCCCAACATAGCATGACAAAATAGCTACGCTTAGACTCATCCAAAATAGCTAGGTAATGAAAGAACCACTCTACCACATTACCTTGGAGTACACTGTTCGCCGACAAACAAAAATTATCCCAAACCCCCGCACTGCCTCCCTGCACGATACAAACAAATGATAGGCAGACTCCTCCTCCTGGGCACACATATGGCATGAAAAGCTACAATGAACCCTTCGCCTGTTCAGCGCATCACACGTGGGCAGAAAAGATGACGCTAACTGCCAGCTAAACAACTTCACCTTCGGGGGAACTTGTAAGCTCCAAATCCTACTCCACGGGCGGTCATCATGAACATCCCCGGCCAGCATTCTGTAACATGATTTCACGGTATAATTACCCTTTGAATCCCAGTGCCAAAACCATGAATCTGGAGGCTTACGCATACTTAAAGGAATATTAAGAATGTACCTTGCATCACGATCATTAAAAATGTCCCGAACACAACCCTCATCCCAACCAGTTTGCTGCATATTAAAAAGAGATGAGACAGGTGACTCTTTTATATTTTCTGGCAAGACGGTAGAAATATATGGCTCCTCATCAGCCGGCAGCCACGGATCGTAGCCTATAGTTGTACTGCGCCCATCCCCAATGCACCGCCTCATACCCTCCTTCACCACATTTTGCACCTCCAACAAACCTTGCCAAACAAAAGATGCATTACTGCAAGTAGTAGCTTCTAAAAAAGAGCACTTGGGAAAATACCTACTTTTATAGACCCGAGCTAACAGTGAATCTGGCCTGGTGAGCAGCCGCCATGCTTGCTTCCCCAACAAAGCCAAAGTCATCTCCCTCAACCTTCGGAAACCTAGTCCTCCACTACTCTTCGGAGCACACAAACCATTCTACGCCCGCCATCGCATCCCCTTCCCATTCCCGATTGCACCAGTCCACCAATACTCATTTAGGGCAGTCTCAATATCCTTGCAAACACCAACTGGCAGTAAGAAAACCATCATTGCATAGCATGGGAGAGCTTGTAACACATTCTTTAACAATACCTCACGGCCAGCTCGAGAGAAGAACTTGGAATTCCAACTCCTCACACGACTCAATATCTTATCCATCAGGAAACCAAACACAGCCTTCTTATTCCGACCCACTAGCGAGGGGAGCCCCAAATACTTGCCATGTGTTTCCCCTTGACTCACCCCCAGAATATGAACAACTTCATTACGGGTTTGCTGTAGCACATTTGCACTGAAACACACCAAAGACTTATCAAAATTGATTTTTTGCCCCGAAGCGGTAGCATACACATCGAGGACCCCCTTCATCTGCTCACTCTCCTCCTTGTTTGCACGCATAAAAAAGAAACAATCATCCGCGAATAGAAGGTGAGATATCGGCGGTGCCCCTCGTGCAACGGTGATACCATGCATGTCCCCTCGTCTCATCTTATGCTCAATTAGTGCACTTAACCCTTCTGCCACTAATAGAAACAGGTACGGTGACAGCGGATCCCCCTGCCGTAGATCCCTACTAGGGCAGATAGGCCCTAACTTGCGATGCTCATATAAAATATGATAATTCACCGAGCTTACAGTTTCCATCAAGATATTAACCCATTTCAAGTCAAACCCCACTTTAAGCATAATTGCTCTAAGAAATCGCCACTCGACCCGATCATATGCTTTACTCATGTCCACCTTCAACGCAGCAACCCCTACTTTCCCCTAAGTTTTCCGTTTCAAATAATGATGTGCCTCGTAAGCAAGCATAACATTATCCGAGATTAACCTTCCCGGCACAAAAGCACTCTGAGCGTCGCATATAATCCCATTCAACAGGGGCTTCATTCGGTTCGCACACACCTTAGCTGCTATTTTATACAACACATTGCAGAGCGCAATGGGGGCGTAAATCCTTCATTGTTTCCGGGTTCCCCTTCTTGGGTATCAACACAATCAAACTCTCATTAGCACGAGGTGGTAACTGACCGGTATCAATGAAACTCCTGCAAAACTGCGTCACATCAGCCCCAACTATCTCCCAGAAATACTGATAAAACCCCGAGCCAAACCCATCTGGCCCCGGCGACTTATCAGGATGCATTTGAAAGGCCGCGACACGCACCACTGTAGCACTAACCGGGCGTACTAGCCTCGCATTTTCCTCCGCCTTCACATACTGTCGCATACAGGCAATTACTTCATCCATCTCCCCGTCCTCCGCGGTAAACATCTCCTTGAAATAATTTACCATTACCCCGCCAATCTCCTCTTCCCCCTCAACCCAATCACCATGCTCATTCCTTAGCTTTCTCACCGTATTCCGCCTCCGACGTGCCTTCACACTATTATGAAAGAACTTTGTATTTTGATTTCCCCCCCCCCCCCCCCCCGCCACCAGTGCTCCTTGGCCCTTTGTTTCCAATACAAATGTTGTTGCTCCAACAAGATTAAGAGCTCCTTCTCAATAGATTCATATGCCGCACATCCATCACTATCCGTTCTTGCACGTAGGGTCTCCAGCCTTAACTTACAAGCCTCGATTCGCCTCAAAAAGTTCTTATTATAATTCCGGCCCCATGCCCAAATATCTTGGCTACACACAACAATTCGATCCAAGACATCTAGTCCCATAGTTTTGTCCCAACTCTGTTGTACGATTTCCTTGCAAACATCCTCCCGCAACCACATATTATCAAAACAAAATCTTCGTCGCCTCGGCGCTTGTTGAACTACCACAGGAGTAACCACCAGAGGGAGATGGTCACTATACGGGACAGTTACAGAATGTGCCACAGCCCCTTCTTACAGCAATTGCCAAGACTCGATTGCGAGTATACGGTCTAACTTTTCTTCCAACATATTAGGAGTGCCACGAGACTTCACCCACGTAAACTGGTTTCCTGCAAAAGGAAAGTCCTGCAATCCACAATCCTCCACCACCGTCCGAAAGCCCCGAAGAAGCCACTCTGGATGACCCCTCCTCCCCCTTTTCTCCGCTTGGTGCATTAAATCATTGAAGTCCCCCATTATCAGCCAAGGCAGCGTACTCAAACCAGATAGGGCCCGGAGCATGTTCCACGACTCTCTGCGCCTGTTCCCCTCTGGGTATCCATAGAACCCCGTAAACTTCCACTGCGGGCTACCAACATCCAAAGTTACAAGCGCATCTATATGGTTGTTGGAATACCCCGTTACCTCCACCTCCACATGATCAGCCCATAGAAGAGCCAACCCTCCACGATGCCCCTGCGAATCAACCACCAACATATTCTGAAAACCCAGTCTAACACGTATAGGTTCCAACTTCTGCTTAGTAACAAACGTCTCCATCAAAAACACCACACACGGCCTCTTCGTGCGGACCAAATCCGCCAAAACTTGAACTGCCGTCTGGTTGCCAAGCCCATGGCAATTCCATGACATAAGACTCATATCTCTTGGCGGGTTTGCTGAGCCAAACCCGCCGTACTCAAGTTTTTTGGATCTGCATGTTCATATTCCATCGGGGCAACCACAGTGCTAGGTGTAGCCTCCTGGGTCTCCACATGTCGTTTCTTCTGCTCCACAAAAACAGCCCCCACATGCACCTTCTCCTGACTACCCACCCCTGTATTATCCAATCCAGAGGCCTCCGTCTTAGGCGCCCTCCAATTCTGCCTCTCGGAGTTAGACGCCAGAGCTACCCATCTCTGCCCAGCAGCCACCCGACGCGAGGCAGCACGCAGCCCAGGGCCATACGGTTTCTCCTCCCCCTCCGGCATCCCTCGTGCAGAAATATGGCAAAACCTCTCCCCATACCCAATCACCCCACACCGGAAACAAAATGTAGGGAGACGCTCATACCTGAATTGTATTACTGCCCACGCTCCATCACCCTTCTTGATCTTCATATGCTTCTTGAGAGTCTTCGTTACATCAATAGACACCCTCACCCGGTAGAAAACATTCATATGTCCATCAAAATTTCGGTCATCCGTCTTCACTACCGTTCCCACAAACGAACCAATGGCCGATACGACCGCATCAGTTCGAAAACCTACCGGCAGATTGTGTATTTGAATCCAAAACTCCGCACGATGCAACACTACCTCCTCTGGATCCTCGTTCGGCAGCAGCTTATGGAGCAACAGCAAGTTCTGTTCGAACGCCCACGGACCATCAGCTAGCACCCGGTCATAGTCTTCTTCATCATAGAACCGTATCAAGAACCGGTGGGGTTGCAACTGGCTCATCGTCACCCCCATACCCGGCCTCCACACCCCAGCCATGGTCTCCTGGAAGTAGAGAAACTTCACCGGCTTATCAGTAACTAACCGGCCAACCGCATAGAATTCCCTCCCCAGCGACTGGGCGTTCCACCGGCACATTACGCAACTGCATGGAGCACTCCTCATCGTCCACATCTGCTAGGGTTAGATTCGCACATACCTCAGCAATATCCACTGGCGTACCCATCCTTCACAATCGAACACAGTCGTCCCAACTCAACGTATGAACAAACACAACTTGATTCAATTCGCAAAATCTGCGCATATGGCAAGAAGACGAACTTGCGAAAAAAGGCGAGAGAGAATTAGGGTTTCTAGCATCTATACATGCATCTTTACGGATGGATTAGTATTTTTGGTAAACCTAGAAAAATCTGCACTGTACATTTCAATTTACTTGTGTAAATATTAATTCCTTTCAGAAATTATAATTATGGATTGAATATATTCGTTCATAAAAATATTATAAGACTTGTTTAATTTACCTCAAACAATGGAATTATGAGAGACTAAATATACATATTTCGTGTTCTGTAACATGTGCTCTATTTAATTTCGTAGTTTTATTTTTTCCACTTTAATGATTTAGATTGACATTCAATGAAAAAATGTGATAGGTATGAATCAAAGTTCATCAAAAAAATTACAGAAGAGGTATTGCGGGGAGTGAATCGTCGTACATACATGAATGTCGCAAAGTATCCAGTTGGAATTGAATCTCGTGTCAGAGATATACTTCATTTATTGCAAACTCAAAGAAATGATGACACCAAGATGTTTGGAATATTTGGTATGGGTGGTGTCGGAAAAACAACCCTTGCTAAAGCCATTTACAATTTGAGTTTTCAAAAATTTGAAGGTTGTTGCTTTATTGCAAACATTAGATCACAAGTTTCCGAAGGGCATCATGGTTTAGTTCGTTTACAAGAGAAACTTCTTTGCAAAACACTCAACAGAAAGAAACTTGAAATAGATAATGTTGATGAAGGAATAAGTTTGATTAAAGAAAGACTGCGGTCAAAAACTGTTCTTATTGTTCTTGATGACATAGACGATACTAGTCAACTTGAATCATTAGCAGGACAGCGTAATTGGTTTGGTTCAGGGAGCACACTTATAATAACAACTAGAGATGTTCAGTTGTTGAGTAACCTGGGAGCACACGAGAAGTACATGGTAGAAACGTTAAGCCCTGATGAATCCTTGCAACTGTTGAGTTGGCATGCTTTTGGTGTTTCTATACCATTAGAGGAGTATATTGAACTATCTGAAAGGATAGCAAGTTATACTGATGGACTTCCACTAGCACTTACAATTATAGGTTCTTATTTGCGTGGCAAATCAATACAAGAATGGAGTGATGATGCTGAGAAATTAAGTGGGATACCTCATGATGATGTTCAAAAAATTCTTAAAATAAGTTATGATTCACTTGATGATGATACTCAGAATATCTTTCTTGATATTGCTTGTTTTTTTATTGGGCATAACAAAAATGACACTTCTATGATATTGGAAGCTTGTGGTTTTTATGCTAAAAGTGGAATAAGAATTTTGATTGAAAGATGCTTGTTGACAACAAATGGAGGTGGAAAGTTTGAAACTCTTCATATGCATGATTTAGTACGAGATATGGGAAGAGAAATTGTTCGAAAGGAATCTCCACGAGAGCCGGGCAAACAAACTAGATTGATTGATCCAAAAGATGTCTTTGATGTTCTTCTCGGGAACAAGGTAAAACATTTCCTTTGTATTTGAGTTATTCTAGCTAGTTAATTCATTTGTTTTCTATACTTAAATTTATTAAAATCAAAGATTTCAAAATATCTAAAATCTAAAATACTGTTATATAAATGTTTTTTATAGGATACAGAAGCAATTGAAGGGATGATTGTAAATTCTGACATGTTAAAGAATGTGCCTTTGAATACTCAAGTATTCAAGAGGATGTTAAAGTTACGAATACTCATATTGAATGATATGTTTCTCAGCGGATCTTTTAAATATTTATCCAATGAGCTTAGGTTGTTTAGATTACACAATTGTCATTTGAGTTACATACCATCTAATTTTCGTTGTGAGAAACTTGTTGAGTTAGACATGGAGGGTAGCAATATCAAAGAATTCTCATGCTATATGCAGGTTAGTATGTCTAATGCTTCTTTCAATATTGCATATTTCTTAATTAAGAACTTTGACTAGAAAAATAGAAATTGATTAAACCTTTTTCTACTTTTTTTCAACAGCATTTTAGATGGTTGAAGATCTTAAAGTTTGATTTTTGTAAACAACTTAAGAAAACGCCAGACTTCACCGGAGCACATAGCCTTCAGAAAGTATCCTTTCACGGGTGTTTAAATTTGGTCAAGGTACACCCATCAATTGGAAGTTTGAAGAGTCTTGTTGAGTTGTATTTCTTCAATTGCAAGAAACTCAAGGTGCTTCCGAGTAGCATTTGCAACTTAAAATCACATGAAGTTTTATGTTTACAAAAATGCAAAAAACTGGGTGAGCTTCCAATTGAGTTGGGAAAATTAGAGCAACTAAGAGATTTATTTGCTTGTGAAACTGCCATCTCACATACACCATTTTCTTTGGGATGTTTGAGAAATCTAAAGAAACTGAGTCTGGGGAAAATCAAGAGTTGTGTACCATCAAAATCAAAATCTCAACTTCTTGACATTTTATCATCACCTCTTATTTTGTCAAGAAGAAGTCGTGATGGTGTTGGTTTTTTTCCACCTTCAGTTGCAAATTTGTGCTCCTTGGAAGATCTATATCTGAGTTACATCGATCTACATGAAGTAGATCTTAGGATCATTTTTGAGAATTTCACCTCATTGGTAACTTTAAATTTATCTGGGAGTTGTTATCATCAGAGCTTACCCTTTGGCATTTGTCATCTTTCAAACTTGAAATTTCTAGACTTGGACAATTTGCAAAATCTTAGAGTACTTGTAGAAGTTCCTCCTAGTTTGGAGAAACTCTCTGCAGAAAATTGTGTTTCATTGGAAAATATAGCAGTTGTATCAAACTTGAAGAGACTTGAAGTGTTGAGTATTGGGAATTGCATACGTTTGGTTGAGCTTCCAAACATGAAGAGTCTTTCATCCTTAAAAAGACTTGACATAAGCAATTGCAAAAGTTTGGTTGAGCTTCCAAACATGGAGAGTCTTTCATCCTTACAAAGACTTGACATAAGCAATTGCATAAGTTTGGTTGAGCTTCCGAACATGGAGAGTCTTTCATCCTTAAAAGAGCTTAACATAAGCAATTGCAATGCCTTGAGTATACCTGACAACTATTTGCATGAAGATCTTCCAATTGCTCTAAGGAGTTTGTCCTCCTCGTTGAAAGAAATAGATTTAATGGGAAGATATTATCTTCAAAGTTCACCATTAAGCCTTTGCCATCAATATTCCAATTTGGAGGATCTCTACTTGGACGATCTGCAGAATCTTAGATCACTTCCACAACTTCCTTCTAATTTGGAGGTACTCTCTGCAAAGAATTGCGTCTCATTAGAAAAAATAGAAAATTTATCAAACTTGAAAAGACTCTATCGGCTAGATATTCAGAACTGTAAAAGTTTGGTTGAGCTTTCAGGCTTGGAGAGTCTTGAATCCTTAGGTAGTCTTGGGATAGCAAATTGCATTGGTTTGAGGATTCCTTCAATTGAAAAGTGGTTCAAGGTTAGTTATATATGTTCCCCTCATCTAGATCTGATAATTTGGTGTTTTTATATTATAGTAGGTAGGTAGTAATAACTAATTGTTTCATTGTATGTATGTATTCCATAATATGTAGGCATGTTCTAAAGGTGACTGTGTCGAAATTGGGCTTATTGTGTTCAAGGGGTATGTATGCTGCCGTTTTCCTATACGTTTGGGGGAGTTATCGTTTGAAATCATCACGCAAGGTGTGATTGATCCCTATAATGAAATTGATGATTGCAATGGAATTCGTTTGAGTGCAAAAATCAAAAGCAGTGGTATTTGGATTGTAAAGCAACCGAACTATATTAACTTCAACCGCGAATTACTTTTTGCTATTTATGTGGTTCCCACAGTGATGGGAGAAGTATTGGAGGTGTATGCAGAATTCAAGTCTCATTTGCAGATGATATTTTTTCTATTTGAAATACATAGAAACAGAGAAGGGGAAGTGCGTTTCTTTCCATCCACAAGAGGATGCATTCCTTCCTATAAGGAAGATGGACAGAAGAAGAGGAAAAGGAAGGTGCAGATAGGTAGAGGCGGCAGAAGTATTGGGCAGAGGCCTTTTTTTCCAATCACAAGGGGATTGATTCCTTCTGTTATGACCCTGGGAGATGATGGACAAAGGAAGAGGAAGAAAAGGAAGGTGTAGATAGGTAGAGGCGGCACAACTATCCAGCAGAGGCGGTTATAATCTTCAGCTTTTAATTTGCTGCAAAAGGATTGTTATTATTGTAACTTGTAAGTATATCCGCCCTTCACACCTCTTTAACATCTATATCTTTTGTTGTCTATTGAATGCCATTTTAATATTTATAATTTATTAATGAATTGACTGTAGTATTTGAATTATCACATTTTTTTTATATTTTATTTATTTTGATTAAAGCGTAATTAACTGATTCAAAAGATGACTTAACTTCCATATTTGATCCTATTTTACCTCATATTTTTATTGTTAAAATTTAGTGATTAGGTTCAAAGAGCTTTTATTTACTTTTTTTTTTTTTTTTTGTGTGTGTGTGTGGACAGGTACAATTTAATTTTATCAAAGCAATTAGAAATGATTTTTACACCATTTGGATGGAGATGAAGTGAATTGGAGGATGGAAACAAAAGGGAGATCAAGAATTGAATCATGTACAAGATCAGAGTCAATTGGAGTGTGATTTATCTCTTGTTATTGACCTCTTCTAGTTAATCACAAGAGTTGCTCTCTTTTGGATAAACAATCACACTAGGAAGACTGTGTGACGGCTGGCTCAAGCTTGAAAAGACTGTAGTGCTTTAATTTGAGGATTCATTTGATTGAAAAGTGGTTAGTTATGTTCCACTCATCTCTACCACTTTCTATCTCTCTCTCTCTGATAATTTGGTGTTCAGATTAGATGGTAATAATGCTTTTGCAGGTATTAATTAACTCTTATACGGAATATATGCAATAATATAATATAATGTCAAGATTTTGCTTTAAGTATGTAAAACATTTGCCTGTTGCATTCTTCCAACGTTTTCGAGGCATGGATTCGTTTATATGTTTCTGATGGACTTTTGTTTTGGTGATTGCAATATAATGGAGTTCGTATGGCTAAGCTACTAGAAGCAAAACCAGTGACGCATCAGCTTGGGTTGGAGATATATAAATGCAGTGTGGAGAAGAAGAAGAAGAAGTATGGAAGATCAGAGTTGATTTTGAGGTGGCAGTAATGGTGGGGGAAGTAGTGGAGGTGTTTGCATAATTCCATCCTTTGCATACACTTTTTGTATTTGAAATGCACAGAAACTAACAGTGATGGACAACTGTGCTTCTTTCCATCCACAAGGCCTTCCCTGCAGTTTGATCAACCTCAACTACAACTGGTAGAGTAGCATCATGTTTGGGCTTAGCAACAACTAACTATCAACTCTGGGACGACGAGAAAAACTCACAGATACAATTTGTCTATTTGATGGTATCCTAAATTCTGTAGAATGGGTTCAAAAAAAGGATATCTGTAATAATCAAATTCATAGTATCTTTTTGTACATGAATCATGTTATTGCTTCATCCCACTCAACTATCTTTTGGGACTTTTTTTTTTTTTTTTTTTTTTTTTTTTTTTTTTTTTTTTTTTCTAATGGATGACAAAATTTGACATCATCCACCTTGTTGAGTAAATGTTTTTTATAATAAAGGTAAATGTTAATTTATTATTATATTATATTTTGAGAGTGAATTAGAATTATAGTGATGATGAAGAGAAATTATTAGTGAAATGAAAATATGATGATATGATAATGTGATTCACTTTTAAAAATAAGAGAGAATTTTAAGGATGCAAATGACCTAACTATTTAAAACTTTTGGTGCAAATAAGGTCATCTCTAATTCAAAGCACTAAAATTTATACCAAAAAAAATATTTTCAGTATATTCTTATACTAAATTTATACCAAAAGGGTATTTGTAATAATCAAACTCATGGTGTCTTTTCGTACAAGCAGCATCCCACTCAACTATCTTTTGGGACTTTTTTTTTTTTTTTTTTTTTTTTTTTTTTTTTTTTTTTTTTGTTACTTTTCAATCCACGTGTATTGCAAGGATGACAAACTCATGTTGCTTTTTGTTACCTCTATCTTGAGAATTGATAGAGGTACATAATATATTGTTTATGATGATTTTCTAAAGAAAAAGGGTATCCAACACCAGATGAAAGCTAGATACACTCCACAACAAAACAGAGTGGCTGAGAGGAATAATAAGTCTATCATGGATATGGTAAGGTGCATGTTGAAATCCAATAATCTGCCTAAGCCTTTTTGGGCAGAATCTGTTACTTGTGCTGCCTATGTGTTCAATAAGTGTCCAACTAAGAGTGTCCGTGATAAGACACCCGAAGAAGCTTGGAGTGGAAAAAACCCTCTATCAGATATCTCAAGATTTTTGGATGTTTGGCATATGCATATGTGCTAGATCCATTGAGAAAGAAGTTGGATGATAAAGGTGAGAAGTGCGTATTCATTGGTTATAGCGACGCTTCCAAGGCTTATAAACTGTACAATTCTGACACTAAAAAGGTTGTTATAAGCCATGATGTCACTTTTGATGAATATGGTGCTTGGGATTGGTCAGCTAAAGATGAAAGTTCAGTTGTTATTCCTGTTGTTGAAAATATTGTTGATGAGTAACCAATTCCAGAAAATGTCTAGTCTCCTTCACAGCCAGAGTCGTCAGTTCGACGATCTCAGCGCGAGCGCCACTTACCAGCTCGCTTGTAGGATTATGTTTTGGGTCATGATAATGACCTATCTGATGAAGAGATTATTCAATTTGCTCTTTTTGCAGATTGTGATCCTTTATATTTTGAGGAGGCTGCTATAAAAACTCATTAGCTTAAGGCGATGGATGAGGAGATATGTGCCATTGAGAAGAATGGTACCTAAGAATTAACATGATTACCTCTTGGAAAGAAGCCAATTGGAGTAAAGTGGGTTTACAGAACGAAGTACAAGTCAAGTGGAGAAATTGGCCGTTTTAAGGCATGGTTGGTAGCAAAAGGTTACAAGAAAAAACCAGGTATTGATTATTTTGAGGTTTTTGCTCCTGTAAGTAGACTTGATACAGTTCGAATGGTTATTCCTCTTGCTGCTCAAAATGATTGGAAATTGCATCAAATGGATGTCAAGTCTGCTTTTTTGAATGGTTTTCTTGAAGAAGAAATATATGTTGAGCAACTTGCAGGGTTTGAGAAGAAAGGGGATGAAAATAAAGTGTACAGGTTGAGAAAAGCCTTATATGGCTTAAAACAAGCGCCTAGGGCGTTGTATGGTTGCATCGACTCATATTTTGTTGAAAGTGGTTTTATGAGATGTCCTCATGAGCACACTTTGTATGTCAAATGCACGGATTTTGGTGATGTTGTTATAATCTATCTGTATGTTGATGATTTGGTTTTTACTGGAAATAACTTGAAGCTAATCTCAGAAGTCAAGGAGGCACTCATTAAAAGATTTGAAATGACTGATATGAGCCTTATGTCTTACTTTCTTGGCCTTGAGGTTGTTCAGATGGATGGTGGAATTTTTTATTTCACAAAATAAGTATGTTGCTGATATTTTGAAAAAGTTCAAAATGGAAAACTCCAAACCAGCTTCAACTCCGGTAGCTGAAAAGTTAAAGGTATTAAAAGATGAGTGTGGTAAGAATGTGAATGTTACAGCTTATAAAAGCTTAATTGGAAGTTTGAGGTATCTGGTGGCAACAAGGCTAGATATTTCTTTTGGAGTTGGAATACTTAGCAGATTCATGGAGGAACCAAAAGAATCACATTGGGCTGCGGCAAAGCGAATTCTGAGATATGTCAAAGGTACGAGTAATGATGAAATTTTTTACTCTACTAATGAAACTGTGAAACTTGTTGGGTACACAGACAGTGATTGGGCTGGAGATATCGAGGCCAGAAAAAGCACATCAGGATATGCCTTCTATCTTGGTTCAACTATATTTTCTTGGTCTTCAAAGAAGCAGCAGATCGTAGCACTTTCAACAGCAGAAACAGAATATATTGCAGCAGCAAATTGTGCTACTCAAACAATTTGGATGAGAAGAATTCTGGAGTTTTTACAACACGGGCAAGAAGTACCTACAACTATTTGTTGTGACAACAAGTCAGCAATTTCGTTGTCCAAGAATCCTGTCTTTCATGGTTGCACCAAACATATTGATATCAAGTATCACAAAATCAGAGAGTTAGTTGTTGAAAAATAAATTAACATTGAGTATTGTTCAAGTGAATGTCAAGTTGCAGATATTTTTACGAAGCCGTTGAAGACGGAGCTATTTCTTAAATTGAAGAAGAATATTGGGATGACCAATATATCAAACTTGGTTTAAAGGAGGCAATATTATAATAATAATAATAATAATAATAATAATAATAATAATAATAATATTATTATTATTATTATTATTATTATTATTATTATTATTATTATTATTATTATTATTAATTAAACCAAGTCAAAATTAAAATGAAATGTGAGGTGTGTGGTAGCAGTAAGGGCGTGGGTATTGCAACATGGAAATGGATTTGCAGTACATGGAATCATGGGAGCTTTACTTTCTAAATTCATGCTTTGTTAGTTTTTGTTATTTACTATAAATAGGATGTATTCAAGCATTTTAATCATCAAGTGAATCTATTCAATTTCTCTCTCTCTCTCTCTCTCTCTATATATATATATATATATATATATATATATATATATATTATATTTAATATATCTAACAGGCATCATCAACCTTGTGTAGTAATTTTTTTTTAAACAAAGTTAAATGCTACGGAGTAATTTAGTATCTATATATCTATATCTATATCTATATCTATATGTAATAATAGAAGTGGCTAGTGAGTTTTCCTCCAAAAACTTAGGAACATTTTTGTAAAACCAAACTCATAATTATTTTAGTAAAAATTATTGATTTTATTAACTAACTATATATATTTTCATAATATGATAAAATAGTAAATAAAAATAAAAATAACTTCTAATAAAAATAAATCATATGATTAATATATATAAAATAATGAACATGCTTTTGGTGCCAACATGTTAAGCTTTTGATGAATCTTTGCAACTCTTGAGTTGGCATGCTTTTGGTATCATTGTACCATTAGAGGAGTATAATGAATTATCCAAAACGATAACAAGTTATACTTACTAATGAGCTTGCATTAGCCCTTGAAGTCATAGGTTCTCATTTATAGGGAAAATCAATGCAAGAATGGAGGAATGACGCAAAATCATCTACCAATTTTGATATCAACTCCTTCAAAAGCTCATTTTCAATAGAGATTAAAGCTATTGATATCAACTTTTGATATACATACAATTTTATTTATTTTTTAAATATGAGGCCCCCAAAAATTAAGGCCCCTGTGCGGTCGCACATGTTAGACATGCTCAGAACTGGCCCTGCATGATTGCCATTTGAGTTGCATACCATCTGAATTTTTCTTTGATAAACTTGTTAAGTTAGACATGTCTTATGACAATATCAAAGAATTTCAGCCCAATATGCAGATTAGTATGTCTAAATGTGTAATGCTCAATTATTTAATTTTTAACATGACATATTTTCTTAGAGCTTTCATTTTCTTTTTTAAAGAAAGAAATTGATTAAAACTTTCTCCTTTATTTTAACAGCATTTGACATGCTGCTTGATGGTTGTGAACTGAAGAAAACACCAGACTTCACCGGAGCACATACTCTTCAAAAAGTATCCTTTAAGTGGTATTTAAATTTGGTCAAGGTACACCCATCAATTGGAAGTTTGGAGAACCTTCTTAAGTTAAATTTTCTATTTTGCAAGAAACTTAAGGTGCTTCCGAGTAGCATTTGCAACTTAAAATCACTTGTAGTTTTAAATTTAGATTCTTGCAAAAAACTGAGGGAGCTTCCAATTGATTTGGGAAAATTAGAGCAACTAAGATATTTATCTGCTGGTGGAACTGTGGCCATCTCACATATACCATTTTCTTTGGGATGTTTGAGAAATCTAAAGAGACTGGATCTAGGGAAGTACATGAGTTGTGATGGTGTTGGTTTTTTTCCACCTTTAGTTGCAAATTTGGTTGAGCTTCCAAACATGGAGAGTCTTTCATCATTAGTAAAGCTTGACATAAGGAATTGCAATGAAGTAGATCATAAAATTTGGTTCTTCGGCCTTTGTCATCTATCAAACTTGAAAAGTCTCTACTTGGACAATTTGCATAATCTTAGAGTACTTGTAGAACTTCCTCCTAGTTTGGAGAGACTCTATGCAAAAAATTGTGTTTTATTGGAAAAAATAGCAGCTATATCAAACTTGAAGAAACTTAAAGTGTTGGGTCTTGAAAACTGTGAAAGTTTAGTTGAGCTTCCAAACATGGAGAGTCTTTCATCCTTATTAGAGCTTAACATAAGGAATTGCAATGCTTTGACTATTCCTGACAACTATTTGCATGAAGAAGATCTTCCAATTGCTCTTACGAGTTTTTCCACCTCGTTGAAAGAAATAGATTTAATTAATGGGAAGATATTATCTTCAAAGTTTACCATTAAGCCTTTGCGATCAATATTCCAATTTGAAGAGTCTCGACTTGGACGATTGGCAGAATCTTAGATCACTTCCACAACTTCCCCCTAATTTGGAGATACTATCTGCAATGAATTGTGTCTCATTAGAAACGATAGCAGATCTATCCAACTTGAAAAGACTCAGAAGGCTAAATATTCAGAACTGCAAAAGATTGGTTGAACTTTCAGGCTTGGAGAGTCTTGAATCCTTGCGTGGTCTTGGGGTAGCAAATTGCAGTGGTTTGAGTATTCCTCCGACTGAAAAGTGGTTTAAGGTTAGTTTTATATATATATATATATATATATATATATATATATATATATATATATATATATATATATTCCCTTCATCTATGATAGATATTATATTAGAATATATTGTAATAGTTATTATATTATTAATTGTTATATTGTATGCATATATTCCATAATGTAGGCACGTTCTAACGGTGATTGTATCAAGATTGTGGTTCTAGTGAGCGTTAGGGGGATATCCTGCTACTTTCCTTTAACGAATGTATGCTTTCAAAGCAAGCACAATGTGATTGATTCCAGTGGAATTGATTATGGTCGTTATAGAATTGGTTTGAGTGTGAGAAGTAAAAGCAGTGGTGTTTGGATTCTAAAGGAGCACGGATATAGATCCTATGTGGTTCCAACAATGATGGAAGAAGAATTGGAGGTGTATGTAGAAGTCCATCCTTTGCCGAAGATATTTTGTGTATTTGAAATACATAGAAACAGAGAAGGGGAAGTGCGTTTCTTTCCATCCACAAGGGGATGCATTCCTTCCTATAATCTCATCAACCATAATAAGGATAGTTAGAGTAGCATCATTGTGCTTAGCAAAACCGTCTTCAACTTCAGCTTTTAATTTGCTGCAAAAAGGATTATTGTAAGTATGTATATCCTTCACTCTTGACACCTCTTTAACGTACATCATATCGGACTACATCTTTTGTTAGTTTATATATTTAATAACATTTTTATATTTATTATTATATATACTTTATTTGTTTTGATTAAAGTGCCTCTAAATGATTAAAAAGATGACTTCAAGTTCATATTTGATCTTATTTGATCTCAGCTCATGTTTAACCTTGTTCAAAAGAACTTTTATTTACTTTGTTTGTGTGGATAGGTACAATTAAACTCCATCAAAGCAATTATATATGAGTGGTTTTTATACCATTTGAATTGGATGGAGATGGAGTCAATTGGATGATGGAAACAAAAGCAATCGAAGATCAATAATTGGACCAAAAAGCTTCAAGTCAATCATGTACATACTGGTTGTGAATGTATGGTCACACATAAGAAGTATGAGTCATCCAGTGTGCTAAAAGTCAAGGAATAAAGCAAGGTGGACCCTCTATACAGGGTAAAATAATTGATTTTAAGGTCTTAACAATGATCGGAGAAGTATTGGAGGTGTACGTACTGTTGGAAATTAAGCAATTTCTGACAATCTAAAAGTGATCTTAAATCAAGTCGGAAGTCCTTGTTCCGATCACTTTTAGTATCTGGAAAACCTTTGTTGCTATTTTCGACCACCAGAAGGTGGTCGGAAATAGCATCCAATTTTGTAAAATGGTCGAAAAAATAAACTACTAGAAAGATTGGTGAAAATTCCCAACTCAGTTTATTTTTTTTGAAATACCGACCACAAAGTAAAGGTGGTCGGAAATTCCGACCTATTTCCCCACCATAATCTTTCGATAAAAAATATAAAAATGTCACTTTTCGACCATTTTTTAAAGTGGTTAGAAAATCAAAAATTTCCAATAGTGACGTATGAACAAAAGTGTATAATTAAGAGTAGGACGATTGGAGTAGGAGAAGACACAGTACATGCATGTTGTATTTGTGAATTACGTTTTTTCTTGAGTATTTTTGTTGGGCTATGATGTGCAGCTAGTATAGCTTAATGTTATGAAATATATTGGAGGGTACAAAATGATTTCATTTAGCAATATTGTGACTGCAGGAATTGAAGAATCAACAATTAAGAAGAATAAGAAGATGGTGAGAGCGGATACACATTTCCATCCTCTACACTTTCTTGTCTATTTCAAATACTTAGAAGTTAGAACAAAGATGTGGTTGATGGCAGACAACTAGACATGCAGGTTGATAAGTGCTTAATTGTTAATATTTTAACCTTGCATTTAACACTACTGGAAATTCTGAAATTTCCGACCACCTGAAAGTGATCTTAAATCAAGTTGAAAGTCTTGTTCCGACCACTTTTGGTATCCGGAAAAACCTTTGTTGCTATTTCCGACCACTTTTTGAATTTTTTGGTATCAACTTAATTTAAGATCATTTTCAGGTGGTCGGAAATTTCAGAATTTCTAGTAGTGTAAGCTTAATTATTTTGCTTGCCATTTGTTATGATTTTGCCCAAACTGTTACTCATTTGATTCATTTGTGTGTTTAGGTGTAATTCTTGATGATTTAGATAAATTGAATGATTTTTGAAGAATTTAGTATGCATGTAGCTAGAGTTAATAGAAGGGAATGAGTAATTATGGAGATGGGGAAACAGTACACCTCTTGAAGAGCCAAAGAGTGTGTTTTCAAAGAACTTTAATCATATCGTTTGTGTGTCATTGGGAGACAATAGCAGCTATACCAAATTTGAAAATACTGAAAGAATTATATATTCCCAATTGCAAGAGTTTGGTTGAGGTTGAGCTTCCTGGATTGGAGAGTCTTGAATGTGTTGAGATAAGAAATTGCAGTGGTTTGAGGTTCCTTGAATTGAAAATTGGTTCCAGGTTAGGTAAGTCCCCCTCCTTAATTTTTCTCTGATTTCGTAAAATATATAGATAGTAATGGTTATGATATTTCTATACAAGTAAAAAACGGTTAATTACATGTACAAAATGTGAACTGTAGACACACATACAGTATTTAAATATTATTTTTGGACTAGAATTCATAATAATATATAAACCCAATCTTTGATATAATTTGCCTAATTTTTCAAAGTTTGATCTGACCTAGCCTATTTCCATCCTTAATTTTGTCTAAGCCGGTTTGTGGAGGCCAGGAGAGAAAACAAGTTCTAAAAAAGTCAAAGTTGACGACGACTGAACAAGCCTGACCTAGGAAAAAGAGAAGCCAACAATTCTATTAAAAAAATTATTTTAATATTTGTTTTGAAAAAATAAATTTCCAGTTATTAGTTTCAATTTTACCAACCAATTGAACTAAATGCATCAGTTTAACAAGTTATCAATCAATTGAACCAAATTGAGGAATTGATATGTTCAATTAACTTTTGGCCTTATTATTATTGTTGTTGTTGTTATCGTTATTGTTTTTATTATTATTATTATTATTATTGGTATATAGTTAAAGGGTATATTTGACATTTTAAAATTTTTTTAAATATGTATATTATTTTATAAACTTTGAAATAAAATAATTCATAACATGTCCTTTCAAAAAAAAATTTAATTCATACCATGCAAAGATTCAAAAAAATTTAAACATTTGAAAAAAAAAATCATATCACATAACAATTTCAATTAAGTAAAATGCCGATCAGTGAAAGGGGGACAAGCTGCTCGGAAAAATGCTCCTGAGAACATGGTCTCCCCTTCTATTTTGAATCATCCAAGTGTGGTTGGGATCATTGAACAAAATGATGTAAGAAGGGGACCCAAAGATTTGGGGTCAGCCACCAAAAATGCCATGGCTCAGTCTTTTGTAGTAAACAAGGAGGTATGGGATGAGACTAGGGAGCAGATTCATGCCTATATGGCAAAAATAAAGGAAGAATTAGGGCCACAAGAATTTGAGAGTAAAAAAGGGGAGCTTGTGCAAAAGACTAGGGAGCTTTATCTGGATAAGCTAAGGGGCTGTATAAAAAACAAATGTTGACTGAAGTTGTGTATGAGGAAAATTAAAAACCAGTTTTTAGAATTCTGGTCTGGAGTTCTGAAACTGGGGAAAAAAGAGAGGTGAGTTGCAGGTAAGAGATAATATTGCTGTCGCTTTGCTAAGATAGCTGGAAATGCATCAGATTGAACTACTCTTGGTAGCATTCTGATCTGAAACAAAGAAGAATGAGGCAGATTTGATTGTTGATTTGCCTTGGAGAGTTCTTAGTTTTGAATGCTAAACCAAGCTAGTTGTTTGTAAATGGTATTCGGGTGGTCTTAGTAAGAGGGATCTTTGTAAGGAGGAATAAGGAGGGCTCATTGAAAAAAACACGTGAGTCTTGAATGCAAGATATAGCCTTTAATACCTTTAATTTATTTCAATTATAAAGCTGGACTAGATAAAAACATATTCCAGATATAATAAAGAACATAAAATAAATAGCAGTAAAAGAAAGCATGCACCAGGATATGTTCACGCAGTTCAGAGCCTCACTCCTACGTCTGCGGGGCCACTCACATCAACCCAAATCCACTAAGATGAAAAACGGAGTACAAGAGGATAGTTAATTACACTCTAAAGTATAACCTATAACTACTCCAGAACCTACTCCAGTGGATCCGATGTGCAGGCGTTCTTCATTGCTTCATGATCTGATTGCAAGATCTTCTTCACACACAACAGTACAGGATATATTTGGTATAGATGCACCAAGATTTCAGTGTAAGACTTTGTGAAAGAGTGCGCAAATTGAATGCTAATTAAGGTAGCATTATATAGGTTTGTAAAAGATGTTTTGATCCTCAAAACATGCACTCTTCCATTCCTAGAATTCGGCTGCTCCATTAGATTTAGATCTCCCTATTTATAGGGTCTTGAATAAGTCCTTGAATAAGCTTTATATCTCCTGGAATACTTCTGTGCGCTGATCCAGTCAACTGCTCCAGACGCCGTGACTAATCCAGGACTACTTTGACAACTAATCTAAGCCAATAAAACAGAGGTTTAAATGTGCAATATATTTACACTTACAATCTCCCCCTTTGGCTATTAGTTGACAAAACTACTAAAAGATATCATCGGTTTTAAAATGAATTGCCAAATGAATAATCTATACAAAAGGGATCGGATTAGTCACTAGTCAAGAGTAGCTAGACACACACCCTCCTTTAAACTTAACCAATGTTGTGCCAGAGAATTCAAAACACAATTAAGGCATACAAACACATAGAAATTTAAAAGCACAAAAAGACACATAACACATATATGTCACATAATATAGCTGCATAGCATTTATCACATAGTCAAGGCAAAAACACACAGCACCTTAACACATTTAAAAGCAAAAAACAACCAACGGTAGAGCACACCACATTATTCACTGGCACTTATGGCTAAGTTCAAAAAAAACAAAAGTACTCCCCTTACTACGTGCACTCCCCCTTTTTGTCAATCTAATGGACAAAGAGCAGCATTAGGACTGGGTGGAGGAGGAGGAGGTCTCCAAGTCTTCGTCATCACCAGCAGGAGCTTCAGTAGGAGCAGCTTCAATAGCGGCAATCTGGCGAGTCACACGAAGCAGCTGAGCTTCGGCAGTAGAGATTGAAGATTGAATGGCAAGAGAGGCATCTTTCATCGTGGCAATGTGTGAAGCGAGAAATGTAACTTGCTGTCTGAGAACAGCCAGAGTCGAAACAGAGTCAGCAGCAGAAGAAGTCGATGCAGAGGCCATGCCAGTTGCTGGAGTATCCGCTGGAGCAGGGGCAGGTGGAACTGAGGAGAGAGTGGCCCGATCATCAAAGTGGGATTTTTGGAAGATGCGAGAGTCCATAGAGGTCTTGTGAGTAACATGACAGAGTTCTTCATTGGAATAGAGTTGAAGCCCTTGTTGTTGCAAAATACCCGTGATAAGGCATGGAAATGGTAGATGAATCTTGGCTTCTCTCTTCTTAGAAAAACCCATGATGTGATGATAGATGAGATGACCAAGATCAATAGGCAGCTGATGTCGAACCTTGTATAACAGAGAGGCCATCTTCTTATTCACAGTGTGCACAGAAACATTCGGGATCCAATTGCTAGAAGCTAGGCGAAAGAGAACCGAATAGACTGCAGTAAGTACATTCGAAGGCAGGCCATCCTTTGGCCAGACGTTGATCTCATTGTGTGTAAGATGGGATGCAAGAAAGTCCCCAGCAGGATCAAACAGATCATCACACGCATCACGCTGAAAATAAGTGTTAATAATAGAGGGGCTAAAATCATACCAAGTATCCCGGAGAAAAACTTGATGATAATGTGGAGAGGCCGGTCGAAGAGAATCAGACGTGAGATTGGCGTAGAATTCTGGGATAAGCCAGGCAGAGTAAGCTCCCACATTCTGGATGGTTTGAAGAAGATTCTAAGCTCTAAGCAAAGGAATGATATTGCACACGCGAATGAGGTATTCAATACTAAAATTTTTCTCAACCAAGATATCTCTATTGGAATGCTGCTGCCATACTATTTCCAATGAAGGTGAGAGCAGGATTGGTCTGAACATCGTGTCATTGGATACCTTCACTGTCCTGGATCTGGTTGATGCAGCTGGTTTTGGAGCAGGAGCTGAGGCCGGAGCAGAAGCCGGTGGAGGTGCTGGAGTAGACACACCTGTTCTTGATCGTGTACGCGGAGCAAGACCCGTTGGCCTGTGTTCAGAAAGCTTGCTAGGACGAGATTCAGAGACAAATTCAACATCATCAGACATGTGAAGCTTTCTCTTAGCCACAGGCGCTGCAGCAGCAATTTCTTCATCGGGATCAGTGACCTTGGCTTTCCCTTTGGCCTTTAAAAAAGGTACTCTGATAATGGGGACAGCCGTTGCAGCACGGGCAGAGTTTGGCATATTTGCAATAGTGTCGGAGATGATGGCTACTTGAACGGATGGATCTTCAGGTTCAGAGATGATGTCCCGAATCGATACTTTAACCTGCTCTGGAACAGAGCCTGGAACAGGGACGGATTCATTAGTGACTGGATCTGAGGCTGGAGCAGGGGCTGGATCAAGTGAACGCTCAGCCTTTTTGGAAGTGGCCTTGTCCGTGTTTTGAGGATGGGAACCTGTGAAGGGAATCGTAGAC